AACAACAACAGAAACATATTAGGAGCTAATAAGCTAGTAAACATATGATGGAATTATCATATATCTGATAGCTTTATTAACTTCTGATCTATCATGTTGTCACGATATGAGTCAAAAATTGAACAAATTAAAGCTTGATCTTTCTATAATATTTATCCGATATACTTTATTTAACCTATAATAGCATAGCAACATAAAAAACCTAAATAAAGATAAAATTAAAAAGTATAAAATTAGTTATTAAATTAGAATTAAATGATAAAATAAACTATTGAATTAAAGAATAAAGGATAAGTTATTGACTTAGAACTAAAGAATAAAATAGAATACTAAATTTAGAACTTAATGGTAGAATAAGTTTTTAAATTCATAATTAAATGATGGAATAAGCTATTTTTATAATATACCACTTAATTATGGTCAAAAATTTCTACTTACAACTAGAGCCGTTAATAGGTTGGGTTGATCAAACCTTCAACTCACTCTATTAAATTTCACTTACCCAAATTCTACTCCAGGGTGTTCCAAATTTGCTCCGGGTTGCTGCAGATTGCTCCAAATTTATAAACATTTTTATAGACCCACTCCAACTTAGGTTTGGTTCAACCCGGGGTGGCTCCATAGTATATGACTCAATTAGCAACCTTACTTACAACTAATAACATACAATCTGTTTTATGACCAAAATTGCTAACATCGGGATGTGCCAAGCATAAAATTATACTGAGTTGATATTTAAATATTACAAATTTGGATTCTTTTTTAAAGATTGTAAAACAAAATTGTAATATTACCTTATAAAAGAGAACATTTCCGGATATTTCATTATGATAGTTTAATCTCAGATTTTGAAGTAGAATCCTGTTATCTTTTTAATTATCTTTTTTAAAAAAAACAAAAAGATCAGTACATGGATTTTATAAAGAAACTTTGTAAAAATATTTAATATAGCAATAAAGAATCAAACCTTAAAAAAATTGGTTTCACTATCTAATACATAATTAAATTACTTTAGATTTTTCCAACTTATAATTTGAAATTCAATTTCTTTCTATCAACTTATAAGAATTGAATTTCATTAGTATCGCTTTATTAATTAATTCCAATAACGGATTTCTACAATTGATATTTTTAATATAAAGCTCAATAAGGTAATTTGGTATTTAGTCTAATAGGAAACATAGTTCCAATTTTTATTTGAAATATTAATGCATTCTTATTTTTGTATATAAATTCATAAGTTTTTGCATCAAAGCTAATTTTGTTGCAGTTTATGTCATAATTGTGCAAGCATATTATTTCAATAGAAAAAAACAAAAAAAAAGAAACAAAAAAGAAATAATGAAAAGGTTAATTTTGTGCCAAAATCAAGCAAAATTTATATGTTTTTTCAAAATTTTTGGAAATGAATATATATATGTAAAAGAAAACAAAACAGTGATGATTTCTATTAATTAGGCATTAATTAAAACAATAATAAAGATAAAAAGATTAGTAATGCATTATAAAATATTAATTAATTACAACACCATTTAAAGAAATCACTTTACTAACCTCAACTTAGGATGACTAATAAGAATTATACAACACCTAATCTTTTCTTTCCACTTTCAATCCAAGCTTTCAGAGCATTCACAGCCCTTTGTTCTTTAGGTACTTTGGTTTTTCTAACCAATCCAGAGACAGCAGGCTGCCCAAACGCTATAGCATTATTAGCAAATTGCCTAATTTCGGAAGCAATATCACTTTGTCTAGTTGGACCTAGTTGAACTCTTTTTTCATACAATTGATTAAATTCATCTAGGAACAAGATTTCTTCCGGGGTGAATTGCGTTGAATAAGGAGAGCTTGGAGAGGAAACTTTGCCAGTTGATGGTTTTCTGCGGGTTCGGTTACGATTACTTGAGCCTCTTTTTCTTTAATACAAGAAGAGCTATCTATCATATTTATATCACTCAATTCATCATGATCATCTTCATCATCATCGTCAGCATCATCATCATCATCATCATCATCATCATTATTGACTGCACTTGTTGATTCAGCAGTATGATGAATACTTTCATCGTTATCCATCATAGAATCATCTAAATCTTGTTCTGATGATGATTCATGTTTTTGATCATATATTTCATCATCATCACCATCATCACCATCGAAACTATAACCATCATATGCACCAGTTACAGCTCCAGAAT